AGCTGTCTACATTATTTTTGTTTAATTAGTATACCATCAAATTTATTTTTCACTATGTTTTAACTGGTTATAAGGTTATTTTTCTAATAAATTTATCTTTAAAATTGCTATTGCAAGTTCAATTTACTTGTAATTAATGAGAAATAAAAATGGAATCAAGGAAAGTGATGATATGATGATGTTTCAACTTTCAGCGACAGAGGATGAAGACTTGAGGTGGGCACTTACTAGTGCTCTCAGGGCTGTGATTCAACGTATGACTGACTTGCAGCAGACTGAAAGTGTGAGAACAATTTGTTTTTTGGCTTAGATAAAATTTTGAACCAGTCAAACTGTATTAACAATCAATTACACTGAGCAGATCTTTGTTTTTAAACTTTAGCCATTTTTTGATGGCACATCTTATTGTCTTAAGCTAATTACATTCTCTTCCATCCTGTTAGTAAAATTTTTAAAAAAAAGGTAAAGATGCTGTTAGGGTTAGGGGCATATGATGTAAAGCTCATGTGTTTCTATTGCCATTTGTTAACGAGTGGCCAGCACATCAACCTTTATTTAGGAATTTGTTAGGAACCTATTAGTTTTGGGTGGACACAAGGCTGTTAAAAGTCCCAAAGTTAAAAATCCTGATCTTCATCAGGATTTGAACCTGACCTTTGGTTTGGAAGTTAGGTTCTTTAACATTTGGCCTCATGCCATCTAAAAGTTTTTCCTTTTCTTGAACTTAAAAAAAAATAATATTTTTATCACAGAAATAACAGGGAAAAGAAAAATTGTAACTAATTAAACCTTCTAGTTTTGATTGGATAATTAGAGTCAGATTAAAAATCAATTGTATCTTGAGTTGGGTCATGTGTTGCCTACTGTACTTAAACTCTTTATTTGTCCTGTGCTCAGGTAAGCAGCATACAAGCTTCAGATATTGATTTCATGGTGGGCGTGGCTAAAGCCACTAACAATAGAGAAACTCAGATCAATGTCATCAAGATCTTATCAACAATTGGATGCATGAGTTCTGTCACACTTAGTTCTTTACTTCAGGTGAACAAAGCTTAGCAATTTTGTTTTAAATTGTTATAGTTATACAAAGTTGTGTGTGCATTCTGAGATTAGTTTTTTTGTGATGAGAATAGGAATAAACTTTTTTTATTCCAAGTATACAAACAATCTTTTAGACTAGTATTAGTAGTAACAGACTAGTATTACTGTGGTCAGCATAATGAAACAGAACAGAAGTTATGAAAATTATAATACCGGTATTTAGACTTTTACTGCTGAGTTATCTTATTGATGATCTAGCCAGCCTATTACTGCTGAGCTGTAAGCTCTTTTGCAGGCTGTCCCTAGGAAAAGTAGACTGATGCTTTTCTCAGCTGTTCCACACGCCATACGAAGTGTTGGTTATGATAGGTTTATGTGGTGATAAGATATGTCAGAGGTGAATTAACTAGGGGCATTCAAAGAGGGCATAGTTGACAGCATCATATAAATGACGGGGGGAAAATGTCTTACTACACAATCTGCTAAGACTCTGCCATTATGAAAGATTGTAGATTGCATTTTGCAGAGGAGTAAATTGATACTGTCCAATTTGTCTGGCATGGTCATTTCTCTATTCATTCATCAGTCTGTTACCCATTAATCTGTTTACTAAATATTTATCTGTTGTTTTTTTTAAAGAATTTTAGTCAATAAGAAATAATTTTTTCCAAATATGTTACCATGTGATTAATTTTAATTTCTTTGTCTTTTAGAAAATTGGTGCTATACTTCTAGAAGTGGCTTGTCATAATGAAGACATTATTGTAGTCTCTGAGTCCCTGGACTCTCTGTTTGATGTCTTTAAAGAAGATAATACAGATGGCGTAGCCAAAGAGATTGGTCTAGTGGACCAGCTTGTAGATCTACAAGCTTCCTTTAAACTCAGGGTAATTGAGACTTATTTACATGTTAACGTGTGCTACTCATTACTTCAGGGTTCATTTATCAAAGACTTTCAGAACTTTCCAAAAAAACATGTTACATATTTATGGCAGTACTTTTCCTGTTCAACAGGTTTTTGAGGTGCTCCCACTAATGTATTTTTGCAAATGCTTATTACGTATTGTACAGTAATGGTAAGATTTTGCGGATGTTGCTTAAAAATCACATAAATTAAAAAATATATTGAAAATATTATTTCTAACATTTAAAGATTATAATGTATAGGTAATGTATAACACCTAAAATTACATTCCTACTTCAAGGAATTCATTCATGGTGGGTGAGCCAGAACACTAATACTAAACATGGAACACTGTATGGCCATGCTGCAAACTACAACCTTGTTAGATATACAGACATGCCTACATTCCTGCATTATGCGGAACCATCCCTCAAAAATCATCAATGGAGCTTACATGTTCCACATTCATGATTTTTTTGTTCCACCAAATATTTATAGGTCTGTGTTTATTGTTTACATTTCATCTCCTCCCAGACCCAGTGTGTCCTAAATTTACGAAGATATGGTTGAGCTAGATCTAGATCTATACGTAGATCTAGTAGTCTAGATACCTGATCTATTCTTTGAATCCAGTAAGCGCTAATAAGCCAAATGCGCCATTCAAATCCCTTTCTTTTCCCGACAATGGATCTAGACTAGATTGTCACTAGATGTAACTGGTTTCTAAGAAAAGGATTTTAAAAAATAGTAATACGTTATTAAGATCTAGATAGATCTAGATATAGATTCTATATTGTAAATTATAGACCTAAATGTAATTAATTAACTTAGGTGTAGTAAGGCCAAGGCCTAAATAAGCCATAAGGCTATAGATCTACTTATTACAATCTAAATTAGTTTCTAGATCTAGATTAATCTAGAATCCAGAAGTAGGACTAAATTAGATTACTAGAAATAGAGTCAAATAGTCTTAGAAGGTGATAGATCTAGATGTAATAAATTTAGATCTCAATAAGTCTGTAGATTGGTGTAGATTTAGAGATAAATATTTAGATCTATGATAGGTACATTTATTATAATCCGTGTTCTTAGACTTATTGGACTTATTAGATGTAGATCTAGATCTAGTAGACAGTAAATTATTCTAGACCTAGAACTAGAGACAACATCTAGAGTGACTAGAGTAGAGCCCTAGAAATGAATAGATAATCAAGTACATCTAGAATAATCTAGAAATATACTTGATTAGATTTAGATCAAGTAGCAAATAAAAATAGATAGTAACATTTGAGTCTTTGGTCATTAGAATACATTTTGGTTAGAATTCATCATATAGAGTAAAGAACTATTGATTTCAAACAAAGGACATAATTATATATTACAGGTTTTCTTACTTTTAATTATACTATTTATGTCTAATGTACAAAAGTAAACTATCATTGTTATTTAAGTAATAATTGAAGTCTTTATTTATTGTGCACAGTATGGCTGCCGAACGTAACCGCGTTTATGTTTCACATTGGGGCCCAAAATTCCACATTTTCAACTTGAGTGTTCCACATTCTGGGTATTGGGGTAGACATGTCTGGATATATTTCTTACTTTGAAAACTGCATCATCAGTCAATTAATGGCTAAATTAAATATTTATCTAGACATACTAACCTTGGCATCTTTGGTAGATAATTATGATTACATTCAGCAAAAATTATAGCATCTTTATTTCTTCCTTTGTACAGCATCTTTATTTCTTCTGTTGTTATAGCATCTTTATTTCTTCCTTTGTTACATCTTCTTTATTTCTTCCTTTGTAACAGCATCTTTATTTCTTCCTTTGTAACAGCATCTTTATTTCTTCCTTTGTAACAGCATCTTTATTTCTTCTATTGTTATAGCATCTTTATTTCTTCCTTTGTTACATCTTCTTTATTTCTTCCTTTGTACAGCATCTTTATTTCTTCTGTTGTTATAGCATCTTTATTTCTTCCTTTGTTACATCTTCTTTATTTCTTCCTTTGTAACAGCATCTTTATTTCTTCCTTTGTAACAGCATCTTTATTTCTTCCTTTGTAACAGCATCTTTATTTCTTCCTTTGTTACAGCATCTTTATTTCTTCCTTTGTTACAACTTCTTTATTTCTTCCTTTGTAACAGCATCTTTATTTCTTCCTTTGTTACAACTTTTTTATTTCTTCCTTTGTAACAGCATCTTTATTTCTTCCTTTGTTACAGCTTCTTTATTTCTTCCTTTGTAACAGCATCTTTATTTCTTCCTTTGTAACAGCATCTTTATTTCTTCCTTTGTTACAGCTTCTTTATTTCTTCCTTTGTAACAGCATCTTTATTTCTTCCTTTGTAACAGCATCTTTATTTCTTCCTTTGTAACAGCATCTTTATTTCTTCCTTTGTAACAGCATCTTTATTTCTTTCCTTGTTACAACTTCTTTATTTCTTCCTTTGTAACAGCATCTTTATTTCTTCCTTTGTTTTCCCAGATAAAAGAAAAGAGGGGAGAGTTGGGAGAGAACTTTTCCATTGTGATGATGGCCAAGTCCAATCTGGCAGGTTTTATCAAGTACAAACTAAGCAAAAGATAAATCAGCTGTTCAAAAGTGTTCTTACTCTTGTCCTGGAATATGCAACATTTGTTTGTGATTTTACTTTGGAAGTAAAGGAAAGATCTTCTTGTCAAATTTGATTTGATTGGTAATTAATTTCATCATGTGTTTGATATGTAGGTAAGAGACCTATAGGACATTAATTTATGTAATGAAAAAAAAAGGTAGTTATAATACACTGTATATGTTGAGAGTGATAAGGGATAAATATTGGGTTGTATGATACAGAAATGATAAGCATGTTGTGACATGACAATTGTGACTTGAGATCTGATTGAATGTGTGTTGAAATATGGCTGATAGTGTTGTAAGTGTGCTGAAACCTGGTAGTGAGGTATTAGCGTACAAAGATTGTTTTTTATGCAATGTTCTAACATGAAATCTTGTTTGGCTATAGACTTGTGGTTGCTAACTAACCAGCCAATAAACGTTATACAACTTTTTTTTTTTTTTTTTTTATGCCCTTACTTAATACATTAGTTTATTTGTTTCCTGGTCTTTCATTGTCAACTTTGATGTTAAGCTGTGTGAAGTTTGAAATAATAATGTTGAATATTTGCCTGTATAATATGTGAGTAACAGAGGGCATTTATCAGTCAATAAGATTCTAGTGTAAATAAATTGATTCAGAGGGTCTCTTTAATATTTGACTGGCACTTAAAAGTTTTCTAAATTTCTGAGAGTTAAAAAGATCATCCATTTCATTAGTCCAATGCCTTGAAAACATTTTGACAATAAGATTTGTATCAACTATTTAGCGTTTGTTTTGACCTAAATTAAATAATAAAATGTATAAACCACATTACTGATTTATGGAATGAATTTTTTTTTTGTTCTTGGAGTCAAAAAAATTTTTTAGAATAAAAATAAAGAAGTGTTATTGAAACTTATTAGTTTCATATTATAATTATTTTTATTATTGTTTTTACATGAATTCTACTTAGGTTCTAGGTGTAATAACATTGCAGCTTATTTGATATTTAGGAATTAATGCTGGTGTAATTTTTAAAGAGAAAGTTTTTAGATACATTTATTTCTTAACAATTCTTTGTGAAGCTACACTATAGAAACATCTAAACCAATTAAATCATAAATGCTATTTACAAGTAGTTTTGTTGTTGTTGTTGTTGATGCATTAAATTGTTGTTTGTTTGTTGTTGTTTTTTTTTAAAGTTTTCCTGACAAAATATTTGCTTGACTATATCAGAATATTACATTCTGTGGTGATGGCATAAATATCTACTGCATGAATGTCACCTTTTTATTTTTATATGGAGTATTTAGGCAGGTTATTCCGTTTGAGAATATGTAGACTGAACGAATCATTCTGACATTCATGTAATCAAATACTCAAAATAATTAAATTGTCATTCCGATATCAATCAGGTTTGCAAATGTCAAAATATAAAGTCCAAATATCATACCACTTCATACCTAGCATTCTCTTATCTGATATAATCTGCTCAATTCAGATTACAAAGATTCTATTTCAAAAGTCAGGCCATCTTTTACTGTTAAGTAAGCTCAAATCAAAATAAACCAGTCAGATTATTCTTTTATAACAGATTTACTTACATAGAGCAAGCATAACATGCAATATGCCATATATATATTTAACCAAGGGAGATAATATTTAAGATATCTTCAAATTTCATGTTATTTCCCTTGCCATAAATTTAGAAACACTATTTACCATTCGACAGCTTTGCTGGGTAGGACATCATACCGTATTGGGTGATGATCGCTGGCAGGGCCGGCCCTAACAATTGCGGGGCCCTATGCAAAACAGTTTGGGTAGGGATAAGCATACAGTCAAAATTAAGATTTTGTGTTAGAAAATACATTCTTCTTTGCAATATATCTTTATTAAATGAAGCTGTCAATGCCGTTTTTATTTAATGCCACCCCAAAATGACAATTTTATCTATTTTTCAGTAAATGTTTATGAGTTTTCAGTAAGTTATAATAATTTCAGGAGATTTCCATGAGGTCCTAGAAATTCACGAGGCCGAGGGGTCCCTGTTATTTCAAATAAGTTAGAATGGTTTCATTTATTAATGTACATTTAGAATTAGCGCGGGGCCCATTGCGACCGCATAGATTGCAGTAGCCTAAGGTCGGAACTGATCGCGGGCGATCTTTTTTTTTTTTGAGAGCTTAGAGGATGACGGCGTAACAGAGGTCCCCCAGAAGCGCTATAAAAGATCAACTTCGGCGCCAATGGCATAGAGGAAAACTGACAACAGATGGTCTATTAATGAGGCAACTGAAGAGCTTTAACACATTAGAGACTCAAAAAAGAGAGCTTTAACACATTAGAGACTCAAAGAAGGGAGCTTTAACGCATTAGAGACTCAAAGAAGAGAGCTTTCGAAGAAAGACGCAGAGGACTAAAAGAACACTTCACTTGACTTCCGGTGGACGACGGCTTTATGTGCATCAGGCATGGCATAATATGTAGGTCGCAGTTGGTTTTGCGTGGTCAATCATCCTTAGTCTTTGGAATGAAGACAATACCTTGTTATTATATATGAGATATTTTAACGTGTATTCTAAATGAATGAATAATTACTAAATTGCGCTTTGAGAATGACAAAGATGGTCTGGCAGGGACAGATAAAGAACTAGCTGACCTGGTGATGTTCATAGACAAGACTTTCGCAGCATGTAGTATGCAAATCAATGTCGAAAAAACACATGATCAATAGCCAACCGGGCTTAAAGGCGAAAAGCTGGCAAGTGTCATTAGTTTTAAATACCTCCGAGCTATCGGAGCTATCGAAGGAACCAATCCTGAACTTTTGGGCCAGAATTACACAGTCCACAGCAGCACATGCATAGCTATAAACATTTATTGTAAGATAAAGGCTTAGACACTAAACTCAGACTGATGCGCTCTTGGTCATGGACTCATTCTTATTTGCTTGCGAATCTTTGACGCTAACAGCAGAAATAAAGAAAATGATTCTAACAATAAAAGGATCCTTGGTATCCCTTACACAGACCGCAACACAAATGAGGAGATTAGAAACAGAATCCAAAGACCATTGGGCCTCACGATGACCACAGTATAAAAAACGCAAACTTTATGGTTATATCACCAAATTCTTGCAAAGATCCCTCGTCAGGGAACAGTAGCAGGAAAAAAAAAAAAGAAGAGGCAGACAGAGAAAGCGACGGGCCTGTCATTGAAAGATATTCCATTCAAGGCAAAAGACAGAGGAATGGAGAAAGATCATGTGTGGTGCCCCAATTATAGGATAGGTCACGGTCAATTTCCTAGTGAATAAATAACTAAACCAAAATGCACTGGATAAATTGGATCAATTAAAGACGGTAACGTTAAAAATAATAGTAATTAGTTTGAACAGATCGGACAGGAAGAAACAATTAATATGTCTACCGTTTACAAGGCTCAAGGAAATAAATATTTTACTTTCATTGAACTAACGTACTTGTAATTTTTTTTTTCACAAACATTCGGATTGGATCTCTCTCCCCACCCCCTGGAAACATCTCCCTATCCAGTCTGCTCTTATTTCGGCAAGTGTTAAAATTTCGATAAATCCCCCCCCCCCCAAAAAAAAAAAACAACCTTTCACCTCCCCGCTAAACTGAGTTGAAAACTGGACTATCAAATGTTCTAACGTACAACAAAGGTTTGGACATTCACATTTTGTTGATTATTTCTACGTGAAACGCGAAGAGAAAATTTGTGTGGTAAGTGTCAGTCTCCTTATGGCTCGGGAAGAAACAAATCGATATCTCTAATCAGTTTAGTGCTCAGGGATTTGTACGGTGAACACACAATAAAGTTTTCCTGTGTTTCTCTCTCTCTCTCTCTCTCTCTCTCTCTCTCTCTCTCTCTCTCAATTGATGAATGCACTCATTAGCTGAACACCTATCTGCTGTCTTCACGTTACAGCCGGAGAAAATGTTCTTCAGCTGAACTGTTTTTTAACTTCTTTCTTTTCCCAGAAACTTGTTTCCACCCCTCCCCATTTTGTTCTCTTTCCACAACCTAAATCATTTTTGAAATACTGAATATTTGACGAAGAAAATTCATGCTTGGCAGTACATGCTACACTGCTCTAGTGGCTACATGACATTTGTCCGTATGGGCCACATGACATCTTTCTGTTGGGCTACGTGACATTTTGTCTATTTGGGCCACATGACATCGTTCTGTTGGGCTACATGGCATCTGTGTATCTAGGTAATGTGACATCAGTCTATTGGGTTACTTGACATCATTTTATTAAACAATGTTGATGTATGTGAAGCAGGGCCGTTTTTAGACCTTTAATGGTCACAGGCATAGAGTGTACTGGAAAAGGGTGGGAGGAGGCTTCAGAAGCGAAAATCTGGCAATGTGGAATGTTTTAATTTATCCTAATGCTCCACAACTTCATCTCCTTCTGTTTCTATCATTAGCAACTGGGCCGATTTTAATGACAGGATCGTAAAAGATTTTATATACTCTTATTAAAGGGGCCCACGGATGGCAGTGACTGACCCTCGCATGTTATAGAAGATCTTTCCCACACCTTATACTGCTAATAATGTACATCTAGACTAACACGTTTTCAGTAATATTGTTATAGCCTACACTCGTAGACCGCGCTTCAGGGCTTCAGTCACACAGTATGATTAACAAATAATCATTTAAACCGTTTGGTTGTCAAAAGAGCTGAGCCGATGCTCTTCGAGCTCTAGACGTGTACGCCTGATTGAACAACCGTTCTGTCTGGAAGAGATTCAAGTGAATGCCTATGTAAAGCATTACTATTTCCGATGTATCTGGCACTCCGGGCACATGGACTAGAATGCATGGCCGAAGGCCGAGTACATCGGCAACCTCCGCCATTTTTCTAGCTAACCGTGCAGGACTCGCCATTTGTGTAACGGTCCATTGAGGAACAGCATGGATTATCGACAGGCACGTGGGAGCTCTCTTTCAACCCCGCACCATGCAATGGGAAAGCTCTCGCATTCCCTTGGACACTCCCAGAGGAATTTTGTTTTGCTATTCATTTAGCCTAATCACTTCTCAAATGACCGTTTTCGCCCAAGTGCCACATTGAGGCAGAATAGCGTACCCGGGATCATTTAAACCTAGATTTCTTATAGTCTTGTAGAGCGGTACGCGGTCTGTGGGCCGAATAGTATACTTAGTGTTGGTGACGTTCGTTCAGTTAAACGTCAAACTGCTAGTAGACAACTAAACTTCTATTATAAGCGTATTTCATTTTAGCATTTTTATTTATGCAAATTAAATAACTTGAAAAACTTCATTGTGAACGAAACTAAATTTAACTTTTATTAGAACATAGAAAATGCATAGCGCACGACGAATGCATGTGTAGTCAGATGTAGTTGAAGTATTTCTAAAGATGATTATGTAGACTAAATGTAAAATTTATTTACAGAATGGGGCACAGTCTAGTCTGTCACTATAGAACGATGTTATCCCCTTGAGAATCTAGCGGTAACTGATTAATTAAAAGTCTATTCTAATCTCTAACCCAAAGTCTATGTCGTCACTATAAAATATACGTTCACTGTCGGTCTAACAAAGTGCGCAACCCAACTAACTAAACTAGCTATCTAACAATATATCATAAAATAAGCTTATATTTAAGACAAATACAACTCACAATAAAAACGTGTTATTATACTCTTACTCTGGCATCCTGGAGTCGCCTGGCATCCTGGAGTCGTCTGGCATCCTAGAGTCGTCTGGCGTACTTAACCGAGACCAATCGTTACAGAAGGCCTCACCACTGACCTGCAACGTCGAAGCCTGTGGGCAATTTAAACCAATAGCTCGTTGTCCCGTAGTGGCAACGAGCTTAACACAGGTTAACCACAGTGCCGCTATCTTGCATCATTCTACAAGGTAAGGTAAAGTTTCCCCTTCCGACCTTGCGATCTATAGGGCAGATGATGTAAAGGTCATCTGTTTCCTTGGCCCACGGTTAACGATGGTGTCATGTGGCCAGCACAACGACCAAACGCATTTACTTTCCCCAACTAACGTCAGGTACCCATTAGAGCTGGGTGGACTCAGAGCTGCCCTAAAGAGGCTGAAATTCGAAA